ATCTAACATACAACTATATACATGAATAACTAAAATATATTTTTTATTGCAAGAACAACTGCTTCCTTATAACTGAAGAAATTTTTGGCTTTATTAAATACTATAGAATACCATTATCTACATAAAATATAAAAACTTTTTTTAAAGAAAATTATTAAAAAAGAAACATATTTTCAGCTGGGATATATATCAGTTGTAAGATGGATGTTGTCGAAAATGCTAATCTTGAAGACTAAAATTGTTTTAGAAAATTATTCATACTTATAAAGATACTAAAATATAATGATATTTTATTATATCTTCCTTCGGATGGAGCTTCGCTTTCTTCAACTTCTTTGATTCCTGTTACAGGTGGTTATGGAGCTGGAGGCAATGCTCCATGCTTAGTGGAAGATCTCGTTCCACACTTGGAAGGTACAATCGCTAGGTTGATCCATGAGGGATTCTATCAGAGCGGCCAGTTGTGCATTCACATGCAGCGTCTTTAGGTGAAAGGTGAGGTATCCAACACTTGTCTTTAAATTCTATCATATTCTTTGTTCTCAAATCGAGCTTTGATCTACGTATTTGGTGCTGGTTGTGTAGGTGAACGATGCATTGATCGCTGCCGTTAAGAAACTCAAAGGTGGAGATCCTCGCCAAGATGACACGTCAATCAGGCCCATGATATCTGAGTCTTCAGCAGCTACAGTGGAGAAGAGTGTGAACGAGGCAGTGAAGGCAGGCACCAAACTTTTAGTTGGTGGTAAGCGAAGGGGAGCTTTCATGGAGCCAATGATCCTGGAAGACGCTCCCTTTGACACGGACACAAGGAAGGAAGAGATTTTTAGTCCTGTGATCCTTCTCTACTCATACAAGTCAGCTCTCAAAGTTTCTTAGCTCCCGAAGTTCTTCTTTACTTCCTTTTCTTTTCTCTAAACTTAAACGGTGGTGACGCAGTGATTTCAAGGAAGCCGTGATGGAAGCTAACAGCACGCATTACGGACTCCAAGCTGGCATCTTTATGTGTGATCAAAACAAGGCCTTCTATGCGTTTGAGCATATAGAGGTAGCTTTGCGTTTGAGATATAGAAAGTATTGATCGACTGTTTGATAATTATTTGATCCTCACAGGCTGGAGGAGTTTGCCTCAACAATTCGCCAAGCATGTGCGTTGATAGCCAGCCATACAGTGGGATCAAAGACTCTGGAATCCAACGAGAGGGTGTCAAGTATGTGATGGACGACATGCTCGAAACCAAAGTTTTAGTCATGTGCAATGTAGGCAACGCATCTTACTTTTGTTCAAGCTCGAGCTCGAGCTTTTGAGAAGAGTAAATACAGTCTATCCACAAATCATTGCTGAGTTGTCCTGGTTTGCTTGCTCGCTCTCTAGCACCATCAACCTTTTACCTTTAGGATGGAGAATGCTTATCTATAAAGTCCTGGGAGAAGGTCCATAGCTTGTGAGCAAGCTCAGGATCTCTGCCATAAGCGCTACAGTTGGATTTGTTGGAATCCACGAAGTATTGCCCAGTGACGTCCTTGAGGCTTGGATGTAAAGCCGCGTAGCACGTCGTAGCAGCGCCCTGAGAGATCAATCACATATTAGTCACGAAAAACTTCCAGATTATTGGGAGAATTCTTCTTATCTGTGGCACATTTTTCCAAAGGAAGCTGGAGAAGAACTTGAGAACCCCTGCATGAAGATCAAAGTTCCATAAGTAACCAAAAACAAACTCATTATGTAGGGTGTGTATGGCATCAAAGTAGATATAGTTTAAGATTTGTGTGATATCATAAAGTTATAATACTGTTTTTAAGAGTAATCTTTTTGTGCATTGATACATGAAAATATAAAAATAAATACAATGGTGTAAAGGTAAAAATATGATTGAGACAACATTAAACACAATACAAAAGGCTACCATCTTAAAAAATATGATTCATCATCACCTAAGCTTTTATTATTATTAAATCAATCTATGGACCATAGTTAAATTTTCTGATATATTATTTTCTTAGGAAAAAAAGATTATGTATCATCAACATCCTAATATCAGAGTAAAACCTTACCTCCTTTCATTGAGGCAAACAAACGAGGCAAAGAGACAAGCTCATTATGTAGAGTGTGCACTGCGTCAAAGGTGTCACTATGAACCCTGGATGAACAGCATTGGCTGTGATGTCAACTCCTTCGGCCTAATCAGCGAAAGAGAAAGCATTGACTAATACCTTGAATCTCATTGCCAGTTCTTTGGCGTGGAAGATGTTCGCGAGCTTGGATTGACTGTATGCTCTAGTGTTGGAGTACCTTTTGAAAGAAAAAAGGAAGAATGTACGCTCACGAGAAGAAAAGAGAGCTGTTTGGTGTACTAATGACGAGATTCCCAGGTGCCTTGACAGTTTCACCACCTGCTTGAGCAGCCATTGACAAGCTGTCCTTTCCACCTTCTATTGCGACCTCAAGCTCGATCATAGTGTCGTGAAGAGCAACAGCAGCATTGTACATATGTGCTCCTTCGGAATCAAGCTCAACCTGCAAAGTTAAACATATCATAAGGTGAAATATCCTTGACAAAAAAAAAAGTTCTGACTGAGCTGCAGGATGCTCATCAATGCTCTGGTATCAATTTATATTCCAGCAGAATTGGGGTCTCTGCTATAGTAGTTCTGCACAATAGGAATAAAGTGGGTAGGTAGAGAACAAAAATAAGTGGCTTTAGAGAGTAACTGAGGATCAAACGAAACAAACCTCGCCATGTAAGATTGCACTGCCTGAGCAAAGCCAGGCTTGTACGAAAAGAGCAGCCCACGGAAGAGCTTCCCATCAATGGAGGCTTCTAGTTGAATACATCGCTTACTCTAGCCTCAAACATCTTCTCGCCTAGCGGCTGAACATGAGCTTGAAACTCTGTAGCATGAGTTTGACAGGTAAAAATTGGAGAGGTCCAAGGTTTTCCACAGATACCTCCGTGAGACGAAACCAAGCTCTTGTCCACATCCCGTTGCTTGTCTAGCATAAATGGCGTGGCATGATACTCTTGCCGCCTTCTCTTAAGTTCCTTACGCATGGATAGCTTTGGTTCTGATGGATCTTTCTCCCTCAGCATCTCTTCACAGAAAAACGGCAACCATATTGTCAAGAATGGCAGCAATGTCAATAAAAGAAGAAGCCAACCTGTGCCGAGAAAATACATATCATCCAGAGCTTCAAGCTCTCATCCCCCATAGAAGAATAATATGCCTCGCTCTGCGTTCACAGAATCTCCTGCAAGGGAGAAACGTGGAGAAGGCCCAGGACCAGAGGGATTCGAAGTCGCCCAAACACCAGTCGCTACAAAATACGTAAAAGCCCCATGAGAGACCAACAGGAAACAAATCTACCTACAAGTGCACATACTTAAGTCGAGAGTATGGACGTCATTGAATAGCTTGCGATCATCGGAGAATCCTCCAAACACGACAAGATACTTTCCATGGCTGATTGTTGTGTGCCTGGCTCTTGGCATCAGCTCGGCACCAGTCGTCTTTACCTCCCGCCATGCCATTGTTTCTGGAAACGCAAATGAATTCGCAAGTTTAAAACCAGCACAATGTATATACCTGTGTCCAGAATATGAACGTCGTTTAGATAGGCATTACCACCGTCCTTGCCACCCATGACAACGAAACAGTTCTTATAGGAAGAGCAGGTATGGCTATCCCGAGGAATAGGCAAGACTCCAGTGGTAGAAATCTTCTTCCAGACAAAGTATCTATAGGGAAAAAAAAAATTTAGAAGAAAACAAGGAAAGATAACAGGATATTACTCGTGTTCAAAACATGGAGGTCGTTGTAGTACTCCTCCTCTGAGGGATCACTGGATTTCCCTCATCTCCCAAACACGAACAGGTTGTCACCAATGAGAGACACGCTATGTCCTTCTCTCAGAGCAGGAACATCACCAAAAACGTCGGGTTTCCCCCAGGTGTTGGTAGCTGCATTGTTGATAAAAACAAGAAAAAAAAATAGATAAAACTCGGAGCTTACCAGTATCCAAAACAAAGAGATCGTCGAGCGGGCTGGTTCCATTGGTACCACCAAACACATAGAGCTTAGACCCGACGGCCGTGGAGCTGTGGCTGTCCCGAGGAGAAGGGTGCATTCCTTTCATCACAGGCTTGCTCCAGGTGTATGTCCCTGCGCGATCCCACCAAAAACATGATCAAAACCATATTTTCCAGAAAACCCAGAAGAGAAAACTTATACCAATGTCGAAGACGTGAACATCGTTGGTCTGGCACTCGTCCCGGCCATAGCCACCGAAAATGTAGATGAGATTCCTGACCGCATTGCAGGTGTGGCCCCATTTGCACCCCGGCTGCTGCTGCTGGAGCTGATCGCTGGATCGACGAGGCGCCCACTTCATCTTTACCCTAAAATACAAGTGTAAAAGAGAGACTACAGGGTTTATAGCGCTGCAAAATAGGAATCACTCTCAATGTGGTTCCAGCCTCGAGCAAACCGGAACTTTAAGCCTCGAAAGAGAATAGGGAAGAAGCAAGAGAGTGAAATAGTATATGAATTTACTATGAATGAATGAAGCCAGTGCCACCCGAGAGAGAGAGAGAGAGAGAGAGAGAGAGAGAGAGAGAGAGAGAGAGAGAGAGAGAGAGAGAGAGAGAGAGAGAGATTGCAGCTTACAATCTGCCTGAACGTCCTAAAAATTCACTTGATTTGGAAGGTCATTCAATTCAAAGTTGAAGCGTTGCCACCCCTTTGGCACTTGATCTATGCCATCTATTTGACGTTTTTGAATTTGAACCGTTAAATTATAAGTATATTCAGAAAAAATATTCTAAAAATGGAATAAAAGATGCCAGATGCCATATGCCAATAGCACGTTTAAATAAGGGAGTAAGATGATTTGAAGTTTCAAATTCTAAACGACGCAGAGCCTCTTGCCCCTTTTGCCCTTTTCATTCTGATGTGGCAATTTCCACATATCCCATTGGTCCACCTAATTAGGGTAAAAGATAATGCCAAGAGAGGTTATCACCATCCAATGTGGACAATGCGGCAATCAGGTTCTTCTACCCAATCCTCTTTCGTTTAATGTGGAGTATTTTTAGCACAGCTTGGATACAAATTTTGGGAAATGGCACTCAAGGAGCACGCTGCCTGTAATTCAAATGGGTGGTTTGACGATTCTTTAAGCAGGTATTGTGATTATCATTATACGTAACAAACTCCTTGTGCTTCAGCTACTTCCACAATGTAGATGCTCGCTTTTGTCCTCCTATCAACCTTCCAGTTGGGGATGGGACTCATCCGATATTTACCTTAAAAGTTATACTCCATAGTCTCTCCTTTCCTTACATCTGTTTTTGTAGGCCAGGGCAGTCTTAGTGGATATGGAAGAAGGAGTTGTGAATCAGCTTTTAAGGGTCTGCATACAAATTTTTCTTCTAAAATTTAAAATATTCTTTAGGGCAATTTATCCGAGTTGTTCAATTCAACACAGCTTATCACTGATATCTCTGGCTCCGGAAACAACTGGTATAATTATCAATGAGAATTCGTAACCACAATCATTGTTTGCTGCCGTGAAGGGCTCATGGACATAACTTTTACGGTCCAAAGTACTCGGATACTATTATCGAAAAAGTACGCCGTGAGGTACAAAAGAAATATGAACCTCAAACAACGTTTTCCCCAGGCAGAGATTTGCAGTTCATTGCAGGGTTTTTTTCTCTTGCATTCACTTGGAGGAGGAACTGGTTCTGGTCTTGGAAGCTACATTCTGGAACTTTTGCATGTAATTGCATCGATAACATCTTTTACAAGTATTAACGAATGCCGCATAGGATGCTTATCCGAAAGTTTTTAGATTTTCTGCATCTCTTTTCCCATCCACAGATGACGACGTTATTACATCGCCTTATAACAGGTACCTTTAAAGGCTCATTAAATGCTAAACTTTGCATCCTAATTTAGTGTTCTATCTATTGGATCCCTCACTCAACATGCGGATTGTGTTTTTCCAATTGAAAACCAGGCTCTTATAGACATACTTAGGTTCCAGATTTCATGCTCAAAATAATTCATTGTAACTGTGACTTTAACAGAAAAAAAGGCCAACATAAATGTCAATCATCTGAAGAAGGAAGGAATAAGGCGCCTTTCGACGCAATGAATGCTTTAGTCTCTTCACTGCTTTTGAATCTAACCAGTTCTATGCGTTTTGAGGGCCAGCTTAACGGTGCAATATGCCTGGCATTTCTTTGCAATTTTGTATAATTCGTATTTGACAGTCGATTTGAACGAAATTACTACAAATCTAATACCCTATCCGCGTTTACATTACCTCATATCAAGCATGGCACTTTTTACACCTAAAGGTAACCCAACGCTCTTCGAATTTCGTGCTAAATTTAATTATTTAGGGAAATTACCCTGGCATCCCAACCAGCACACAAAGCTCGTTAATCAGGTCTTTGTAATTCGGATTGTATATGATGACTGATCCTGTCTGTCATTGTTCAGCTTTTCAGTGATGCTCTCTCAAAAGACAATTATCTTATAAAATCTAACCCTTTGGAATCTGTATATTTTAATTGCGCATTTCTGTTAAGAGGGACACCGTGTAGCATTTCGGATGTAAATGAGAATATTGTCCGATCAAGCCAACGTCTAAACATGGTTTCGTATATTTGAATTTTGTGTACTAACTTTTTACTCCTATTTCACAGATTCACTGGAATACTGGCGGTTTTAAAGTTGGTGTTTGTCATCAGCCCGCTTCTGGAATACCCCTGTCCCTTGTATGCCTTGCAAATAACACTTGTATCAGGTATCTACAACCAGAATCTATATACCTAGTGTCAAGATCTTTCAGGAATCGGCTGTTAGCTATGAAACACTCGTTCAACATGTTGTTTAGAAAACGGGTGTATATCCATCACTATACGGAATACATGGATTTTGGAATGTTTGATGTCTGCTCAGGTAGCTAGCTGTTAGCTTAATTTTAGTTTTTTCTTCTTTATATGTAACAGGTATCATGGACACCTTGATTGAAGACTATGGTACTTTCGAGAGTATGCAACATCAGAAAGTCAGACACCTCAAGCTAATGTGCGACCTTGCAAAAAGATAAAATTATATTAGTCAGACATTCTCTTTCACGGTTTCGTTTAAAACAGTTCTTGCTTCTTTGTCTTTTGTTTTATTTAAATATATAATGCAATATCTTTCTCTTGATCTCTTTAAGCCATTGGCAATAGATCAAAGTACCAGTATTTACTCTGGCAAATGTTTAGGACAAAGTCAAGTAAAAAAAAGATAAAAATAAACTAGCTTGTTGCACTGGCACAAAGGTGAAGAGCGTGGGAAGAGGCTGACTCCCTATTTCTCATTTTATCTATCTCGAACATAAAAGCTTAAGGTAAGTGTGTCTTCCTATGGAAAGAGGTACTTCTTTAACTTCTAAAAGATCTTCCTGCTTCTATTGGCATTGGGGGATAGATATTCTCTTTTCCAATCCAGTGATGTGCAACATGGACGGTTGACAGTTGAGATTGTGACATATTGTTAGAAACGGTTGTGCACAAAAATGTTATATAGTATTTTAAATGGCGGTTCAAATCTGTCACTCCGGGAGGGTTTTGCATATGCATATGGTGGCTTTGTGATAGATTGTCAATCCTCATGCCAAATTGGCTTGTAGTCCTGTGCCACCCACGTTTGGAGTACGACTGTTTTTTTTGCAAGAGTTGATCCTTTTTCCGTTGCAGACTAGCACAGGAAGCAGCCTTGAATAGGAATTTGCCATTCCAAGTTTGTCCCACTTTGAAGGAATCTTTGTCAGTTTGAGCTCCACATCCTTCCTAATCCTGGCCAGCTTCTGGTTGATGCAGGCTCAGCAATACAGTACATAAGTGACAACCATGAAGTCCATATCAATCCAGAAAAAACTGTTCCCTGATGGCTGAGAGCGTCCTCCTCTGCCCAAGATTCCCATTTCATACAACTGTTGAAATGCGTAAGAATTGGGCCCTCCCTATGGATTGAATCTCTATTTGCATCCATTAAAGCCTAGTGCATTCGCTATTGCCACTTACACCCTTATGCCATGTGTTTTAATCTAGGCTGTTGTTTTAAATATCAACCATCAGATTTTAAATATATCCATAAATAATATTCTAAAAATGTAATGAAAGACACCAGATGCCAGGGAGTACTCACAGGGCTCCCAGCTCCGCTGGGAAAAGTAGAGAAAGTTTTCAAAATGAAAAGATGTTGTTATATATACTTTGGAGCAGAACAACATGTAAGTCTGAAAATAAAAGAAGAGATAGCCATGTCTAAAAAAGTGTTAATAGTCATTTACAGCTTTTGATGTTACAAGTTAGTCACAGTAACTTTGTAGGTGCATGATGCAAGCTCGCGACTTGTCAAAGAAAAAGTTCAAAGAGAAAGGTGGCGAGGCACTGTAGGGAGGTCGTCTTAGGTCAGACAAGAGTGCTAAGCACTTGCATCCACTCTTGCCATATAGAAGAGGGGAAGAATTACTGGCAAAGATCCTGGGATTGTCCCTTTTTAAGGTTGGTAAGCCACAGTTTATAAAAAAAAATGGAAAGAGGGGAAAAAGAAGAAATATAGCAGTGTTGCCATTAATTCTCTCCTTGCATCTTCCCCACTGCTAGCAAGTCTTCTAGAAATTTATCCAATGACAATGAGCTGTTACCACAATCACCTGCAAGTAGAGGTGTAATTGGCAGGGATTCCAGCTCTGCTGGGAGATCTTCTTTCAAGTAAACTTTTAGGAACTCCCCATTCACCACATGGTTGAAGCTTATCTTCTTGGAAGATTTGAAACGCTTGATCCAAATTCCAAAAGAATGGGTGATTTAACAAATCACTCTACCTCTGGTGGAAGGAGCGTTTGGCTTCTGTATCAGATCATATGGAAATTCAACTCAGCTACACATGATCTTGATTGGGATTGTTCTAGGGCACATAAATCCATATTGAGATTTTCCATGAGAAATCTATAAAGTCAAACTATTTGGCAGCTAAAATATTAAGAAAAAAACCAAGAAGAAACACGCTATAAAGCCCAATATGAAAATCTGCTGGCCTCTTCCCACACTCTTTGATATTCTAAAAGATAACCTTGAACACTACAGAATCTTGTGTGAGTCTGTTTTCAGCTCCATCAGGAGACATTTTAGTATATGCAGAGAAGAGATATTACGTCACATTCTATGATGGATTCCACAGTCTCGTTGAACAAACTCTCTTTCCATTACTTGCTTTTAACTTGCTTTTAAGGAATTTATCGTTTTAGCTACCGAAATTATAGCTTGAACAACCTTTCATTGGCATAGGACAATAAGCAATTAGGAAGCTAGGCTCTTCCCACGCTCTCTCTTTTTATGATTTTTTCTCATGGTTTGGCTTATTATTACCCTCATCTTTTCGAATTGTGACTTCCAAGGAAAAACAGCAAACTAAATTGTTACAGGTGTCTCCAGTTCACCAAGGGACTCTTCCACCGTGTTGACAAGCTGAAGTTTCAATGGTGCTGTTTGTTGGTACCCAAGAGCATGGAGGAGGATTTCGTTCAATAGTGTACCAGGGACTCTGTTGTGGCTGTAAGCTCATAGAATTCCGACTGTACACATCACTTCGTTTGCTCAGTGAAATTGTCCCAGCAGCCAAGCTCCAGAGTCCAGTTGACTTTATTACTTTTCCTGTCGCCTTCCATTGTTGGATGAGCACGGTCTGGAAAGAGAGAAACCTGAAAGCCAGTACGTCGTCAAAGTTACATTACATTTTACATAACGAAATACAAGGTGGGAAGTGTTTGTTAATATTTCATTGAAACCAATCTTGAAGACAGTTATTGGAAAGTCAGGAAATAGAACAATGCCAGATTATGTAGTTCTTATGCTGAAAGAAGTATTCGCGTGCACCATCAAAGTAAGAGGATTGTCTGCAATTTCCACATAACTCTTACAACTGCTGTATGTCATCCTACAACTTTTGTATGTCCTGCTAGGATGCGATCTAGACCGTTAGTCTTTGAAGGATGAATCCCATCCGCCTGTCAACTGGGTTTCTTGGGCTCAACGTTGCAACGTTTAGATCTTCTCAAGCACAAGGGCGTTGTTACATTTAGGTGTTCAATGAGGTCAAGGCCAGGTAGCATCAAGGCTTGATAGCATCCAAGCTATGCTATAGAGAAAATGGAGCGCTGTGATGATTCCGAGCTTGTGTTTGAGAACGATATTTATGTGATTACTGTGAAGGTCTTGCCAGAGGAGATATTGCGAGTCGAAGCGGAGCAGAAAAATGATGGTTCATTCTGGCGGGGAGATTTTAATTCCGGATGTAGGTGGATGTGGTTCTGCTTCCTGCTATGGTTCATGGTTTCTGTTTGCAGACATAGAAGAGATCACAAAGAAGACAGGAAATTCTAAAAGCTTTGCGGTGTTTGTAAAAATGCTACGATCAGCGATTCTTCAGGACTCGGATTCTGTATTCGTAAGCTTGCTTACTTATTACGAACTTGAAGTTCTTAAAGCAAGGTATGGTATAAATACTCAGTAGCTTTTAAAGCTTTTCCTTTTTGTAGAAAGACAAATGCATGCCAAATTTCTGGTGAACCGACAAACAACAAGCGCTATCTAATTTTGACGTATGTAGGAGAATTTGACAGGTACAGAATGGACTTTATGAAATGAACTGGTATAAATTCTGCCTCAGGGTACACTATCCGCTGCCTCTTTTGTTTGAAGACATACCTGAGCGAGACAACTTAAGGAGGACAATTCAAAGGTTAAAAATAGAAATGGCGGAGCTGAAGTCGAGGCTCATATTTAGGAGAGACAATTCTGGGTCGATAGATTTCCAGGTATTTGTGCTTTTTTTTTTCACTACACTTTCGTCTTTGGCAGAAAGATGATGACGAGATTGTGCAAGACGATTCTAGCCGGTAAGTACTTCTTTCCTCATTTATAATTATTATTATTTCTTTATTGCGGATCAGGTTCCAAGATGAAAAGGCTATTTTGATAAAAGAAATGTTGGTTTGGAAACATAAGTATAAACTTCTGGCATCCAAGTATGATGCAAAGGTATTTATGCTGTCGGGCTATGGCGCAACTGACTCACTACAACTGTTGTGCAGAAAGATTGTCAAAAGGATATTCACATATGGCGGAAGAGAGTTGAACAGCTTCAGGTACATACATGCTATGATCTACATTCAAAAGATGTGACCTTTAGGAGGATTTGAGAAGGGAAAGAAGCAACCATAAGAAAGCAATTGCAAGTTTAGCTGCGGAAAAAATTACACTTCTAGAGGAGGTGCGTTCTTGAAAGAAAAAGTTAAGTTTTACATTAATGCCTCAATAGGTCAAGCATTGCAAAGACAGTGAAACAAGATCACGGGTGAGACTTCGAGAGAGTGAGAGCGAACTTGAGCACCTTAAGCGGAAGTAAGTAACACCAAATGATATCTAAATGGCTACTCTAAAACCATTTACATTGTGCAGAATAAGGGCGTCTTCTGCTAGGCAGCTACCACCTGCAAGAACAAGAACTCGGTAGTATTTATTTTGTTTCTATTACCATAGCTGTTCCTGGCCATGTGTGTAGTACTGGTGTAGCAACAAATAACAATAGCCGGAGGCCATCTCCTCAAGCTAAAGGTTGGTGTACAAATTTCCTCCATATTGATGCTATATTTGTCACGACAGGCAGCCGATCATCTTCTTGTCCTACATTTAGCTTTAGGGACCATAGTTCTGCATCGAGATCTACCTTCGTGGAACAATTCATTCCAAGGTAATTAAGAACACAGACAAATATACAATCGTATAACTGCTAACGTTAGGGGCATGTCAAAGAACGATAGAATATCACCTCATTTATTTCACAGTGGAAGAAACACATGCGGAACTGGTCGTTCAAGTTGCTCTGAACGATCTACAACACCACCCCAGGT